ACGAGTAAATGGTGAAGGTTTATCATTATCAAATGATCAACAACAACAACAACAACGACGAAGAAAAAATGGTTTATCAACGACAACATCAATAAATCAAAGAAATGGTAAATCAACACGATTGACAACCAATAATGAAACGCCATTGCTTTCGCATCTTTTTATGGGAACGCATAATTCTACTAGTGATTCGATATGATTTAATTTTATTCTTGCTTTAACTAGTTTTCTTTTTTTTGGGCTTTCAATCTCATATTTCTTTCTTTTTTTTCTGTTTGATTTATTCAAATTCTAAATGTATGCATTTCCCTTGTAGCACAATGATCAACTGCACTGAATTGATTTGTCAAATTATTAATTTATAAAAATCCCGTTCCCCTTTATCTTGTTTCCTTGTGAATATGTTTTTGTTCTTAATTGATCTGAAGAATATTAATAATAAAAAAAAATATGATAGAAAACAAAAGCATGCATCATAAGCAATCATCATTATTGTGACTTTTAGATGTCGTCAGCTATACGAGTAGGAATTATTGGTGGATCAGGTTTTGATCGAAGTGATATTTTAACAAATCGTGTTGAACATGAAAATATTGAAACACCATATGGAAAACCATCGGATAATTTAGTTAGTGGAACTATTAATGGTGTTCAATGTGTTTTATGTTTCCGTCATGGACGTCATCATTCATTTAATCCTTCTCGATTGAAGTTTGTCAATTCTGTAATTTTTATTGATTTTGATTGAGTTATTTTAGTTATCGAGCAAATCTTTGGGCTTTAAAACAACTTGGTGTCAATGTTATTTTAGCTACTACAGCTGTTGGTTCGATATCACCTGATTTTATACGTGGTACTCTTGTTGTTTTTGGTAATGATTTATTAGTAAATTTCTTTTTAATGAATAGTTTTATGATTTAGATAATTTCGTTGATACAACAAAATTTCGACCAAATACATTTTATGATCATGAACCAGGTCATCTACAAGGTGTTATGCATATGAGTATGCATCCACCATATGATCGGGAATTACGTCAATTATTACTTCAATCATGTGCTGAAACACCTGATGTTGCATTTAAAGATAAATCAACTGTTGTTGTTATTGAAGGTCCACAATTTTCTACTTATGCTGAAAATAAAGTATACATGAGTTGGGGTTGTACAACTATTGGTATGACACAAGCACCGGAAACAGTTCTTGCTAAAGAATTAGGCATACCATATGCAGCACTTGGTATTGTAACTGATGATATCTGTTGGAAAGAAGATGGTTTGTTATTTAAACCTGAATTTTTGTATTTAGAAAAAATATTTTATTTTATTTAGGTATTGTTGATCCAAATGAAGTTATAACAATCTTTAAAGCAACATTTCCAAAAGCAATGGAAGTTCTTAGACGTACAATAACAAAAATTGGTGAAAAAGATTGGACAGAAATCTTAGAAACAATTCGAAATCGAACTGAAGAAGCTGTCATGAAGCATTAAAAAACAGAAAATAACAATATATTTTTTTTTCTTGTTAAGTGCTATTTGGGTTGCTTTCTCATTCCATTTATTGTGATCACAGTGCAAATCTTTACAAAAACTATGTTCTTTCAGTATCATTAAGCATAACTACTTCTATTTGCTTTGCTTATCACCTTTTCTAGATGCTTTATAAAATAAAACTATTATGACAACTCGTAATTTAACATCACAGTTTGAACAATTTCGAAACCGTGCTACCCGTGAACCGCATTATCTTGTTGATAATAAAGTATGTTCAAGAAAATCCAATGAAATAGTATAAACTAAATCGTTATTCTATTAAATTATATTTTCAAATGTCAAGAATCTCTTCTGATGATCGTACGAGTTATAAATCTTTTCTATTAGATATAGAATCGATCGTCGTCTCCGTAATTTAATAGAAATGAGTATAAGATGAATATCTCGAGAACAATAATAAGTAGCAACCTGACTTTTTCCGATAACGTATAAGATGGTATCCTTTTGAAATTAATCATCTTTGAAAAACAAATCTATAAAATTTTGTTTTTAACCTTTGATTTAGGTAGAGAGACTCAGCGACGGATTAAGGGGGCGATGGGGATGACGTTCCTCCCCTTTTCCGATTGGACTCAAAAAATAGCTTTTAGCCAAAATCGCCCCCCTCCCCAGGTATCGCCCTCCATACTAAAAAAAAAAATTGGCCCCTCCCTTCCAAAATCCTAGATCCGCCACTGGAGAGACTTCAGATCTATTATCAACAAAATTACACAGAATTTCTAATTTTAGTCTATTGGTGATCGTACAGCATTATTACAAAGTGAAGATGAAGATATTGTTCACTTTGAAAAGCCTGATTTACCACTATGGTATAAATTAAATTTTGTTACTTTATCTAGTACTAAAATAATTGATTATAGGATGGAATTGGAACGAAAAATACAATTACAGCTCGATGAAGTACGAAGTCAAGGTAAAATTTTTTTAAATTTGAAGAAAATAAAAAGTTTTTTTATAATTAATTTAGTTAAAAAATTACAACAATTACAAAATAAGTATTTAAAGCAACCTGATTTTGATGATAATTTAACTAATAAAAACCAAATTGATACACTTACAAACGATATCACAACGGTTTATATCTATCATATAGCCATTGAATAAATCAGTCTTTCTTTTCTTTATCTTATTCGACTAGATGTTACAAGAATGTAATGCATCTGTTCAACGTCTTGCATTACAAGCTAAAAACCCACAGAAAAATTCATGTGATCAACGTTTAATTTCAAATGCTGTTCAAGCAGCAGTCACTGCTTTTCAAGATATAACCACTAAGTTTCGGAATTACCAATGGGGTTATATTCTTCGTAAGTTACATATATACTTGTAAAAACTCTCATTGATTTAAATTCAAAATACATTCCTAAATTGTACTATTTGTAAAGTTTTTCGAATAATACCTATAGAAGATTTTAAGCTTGTAAATTATCAGTCTATAGTAATTGTTTAGTTAAAAACGGTTGATAATTGATGCCGATTGTAGTTTGTCATCATTATATTTGATTCACGATTTATAACCTCGGAAAATTATATTTTTTTTATTTAGAATTGAAACATCGGAACGAAAATAGTCGTCAGACTATGACTAATTTTGATATTAATATGCATTCCAATCCATTTACTGATCAAGATGATCCAGATATAGATTTTGATCAATTAACTGTATGTAATACAAATAATATTTTTCATATAAAACCTCAATTTAATTTCAGTTAACGTTAGAAAGTCAAGAACAAGTAACATCGGTAACTCTTAAATTTGAGAAAGAACGTGAGAAAGAAATTCGTGAAACACTTCAGTCAATGAATGATGTTAATAATATATTTAATGACATTGCAACATTAGTTTCTAGTCAAGTATAAAAATTTGATATTTTGGAATTTGGTTAAATGTTTTGTTTTTAGGGAACATATATAGATCAAATAGAATGTAATATGGAAGAAGCTGTTGTTCAACTTGAACAAGGAAATCAACATTTAGTTAAAGCCGTTGAACATCAGAATCGATTGTTAAAATGGAAATTAATATTTATTGGTATTGGTGCTGCTGTTTTATTATTTATTATTTTGATGAGTATTATATGAAGATAATATTTTTGTATTGTTTTTCTAAAGATAATTTTTTTTTTTTTATAAATTTTATACAAACTAAGAATTATTTTTGTATATGTGATAGATTGATTTTCATTTAAATAAAAATTTTGTGAATCGAATATATTGGTCTCATAGGATTGAATAAATAGCAGATCATTTTTTAGTATCGTTATGATTCTTGACAAAGAGTCTGAAAGTACTTATTACCAATTGATTGTCACGAATGTAATAGTTTTTAGCTGTGAACGTGTCGACATACATCTATAGATTAAGCATGCGAAACCTTTTTTCTTTAAAAAAAATCATAGGATAATGTAGAATTTCGTATCGGATGCAACCGATCTAAGATATATAAACAATCATTTAGTTGTTTCTCACTACATACAAACAATTAAGATGGATATTGGAAAGAATCGGACGTGCAGAATCTTCCTCGTGCGCCCCCGCGCGGGGAGGGATATTTTTTTAAAATTACATTTTTCGGAGAAATTTTTGAAGATTCTGTGGAATTTTTCAAAATTTACTTCGGGGAAGATTTTGCACGTCTGGAAAGAATAGATTAAATTGAATCTTTATTTTATAATTGTTGATAACGATATCTTTTTGAATGTTGTCATTATCGTGCATAGGACTATGTATCCACGATATGCTTGTGAGTTACGTAAGTTAGTATTTCAGTGAAGATGCTGATTCACCTCATTATTCATGCATAGATAATGTGATTACATTTTTATTTATAAAGAGAAGCTTCATCTTAAAAATAAGAATAAAGTAATAGAGAAGTTTTTTTTTATTGAATGTAGAATCTGTTGTCGTTCTCGTAATTAAATAGGAACACAAAATAAAAATTTCGAGGACGATCATAACTAAATAATATTTTTCATAAAATTTAAATTTAATTTTAGTTAGCATCCGAAGATCAACAACAAGCAACATCGCCAAATGTCGAATTCTGAAAAAAAAAGTGATGAAGAAATTCGTGAAAAACTTCTACAAACAAATGGTGATAATGATATAGATGTTGATGTTACACTACCAGTTCAAAGTCAGGTATGAGAATCTTATGTTTTTGAATTTTTTTTTGTTGTATCAGATGTTTGTTTTTAGGAAGAAGATTTAGATGATGTAGAACGTAACATTGGACATAATGATGCTGAACTTGAACAAAAAAAGAAAGAACCACATAAAGATGTTAAACGTCAAGACCGAAATTGGCCAGTGATAATCGCAGGAGGATGTGTGTTTGGTACAATTGTTACAGCTCTTTTATTCCGTCTTTTTAGGCACATAGAATTTCGTTTACTTAACCATAAATACTAAATTTCTTTTTATAATTTTTATATGGATCAAGAACTATTTTCTTAATTATTTTTTATATGCAATGTATTGATTTTGATTTTTTTTATATATTTAATATATTTTTTTTGATTTTTTTATATATTTAATATGTTGATTTTCATTTGAATAAAAATTTTGTGAATCGAATATATTTGTCTCATACGATTGAATAGATAGCGGAACCTTTTCCAGTGTCATTAATGATTCATGTAAAGTCATTCAAAGTTAGTCATACAAAATTAGTAGTACTTTATTGAGGTAAACTAATGTGCTCTTGTGGCGCAATTGGTTAGCGCGTTCGGCTGTTAACCG